TTTTTCATCAAATCAGATAAAAAGCCCATGCCGATAACTTTATTTTCCAACCAGCTTCACTTGCTTATGCCCAAGAATTTGAATAACACCCAGTTTGCTGAAAGCGATTTACTTTTGTTCAATCGGGTACCGAAAGTGGGCAGCGAACATATGATTGAACTTATACGACGTTTAAGTGTTTTAAATGGCTTTGAGACGAATCGTGCATATTTTTCGGAACCAGTGCGGCAACGTCTTACGCCGGAGGAGCAGGAGGAGCTAGCGAAAGAGTTGGACGATGATTATGGCGAGCCATTTGCATATTCTATGCATGTAAATTATATTGATTTTAGGGCATTCAATTTGCCACAACCGATTTATATAAATATGATACGTGATCCAATTGAACGGGTTATAAGTTGGTTCTATTATAAACGTGCGCCCTGGACTGCTGTGCAAATGTATAAGTTGACTAAGAAATTTCGCAAGCCACAATGGTATAAGAAGAGTTTTGAGGAGTGTGTTTTGCATCGCGATATCGAATGCCGTTATGAGACAGATTCAAGCTTTGGCAATTCTAGTGAAGATCACAAAAGGCAGACGTTATTCTTTTGTGGTCACGATCCAGGTTGCGAGTATGTCTTGCTGAATTATTTGCGACGTAGCATTGTGAATATACCAATTATCATTGCAGACCTTTCAATTCACAAAGCGCTTTGCAATTGGCTAAGAAGCATGTTGAGAACGAATATGCTGTGGTGGGCTCTTGGGAGGATTTGAATGTTACACTAGAAGTACTCGAGCATTATATCCCGAAATTTTTCCGTCGCGCAACAGAGTTGTATTTTGGTAATTCTTTCTATAATTTTTACTATTTATTAACCGCCTTATTTACAAATAGGAAAATTCAAATTAATTGTGAGAAGTTTTATTCAAACACACTTGATATTTTATTTTAAAAAATGATGTAAATAATAAGAATCACAGATAACTTTTAACGTAAGCTTTTCTATAGCTCAGAGCTTTTGCACAAAGGCAAATATCGATGCAAAGTTCGGTTTCGCAGAACGTATATAATTTAATTTTAGTTTAAGACTATTTATAAATTAAAAATAACGTTAAATTTTGAAATCTAAAAAGGTAGTAGATAGCATTAGAATCTCCTCTCATTGAAACAAAAATGATTCGTAAGAAAAAAGAAAGACGGATTGGCTAGATTTTTACTTCGAAAGATTTTTGTTATTCTAGCACAAAAAAGCTCTTATTCACCACTCGAGGTTATAATTTATTTTTAGAGAAAGCTCTTGTATATCATTTAGCTCGGTTGTAATGGCCGAGTGGACAAAGCACCTTTCGTTCGAGTCCTCGGGCAGCGGAATTTTTATTTTCTTTTTTAATGTCATTTAATTTTCAGAAACTGATTTTACGTATTTTTTTTTCTTTTTTAACTTATTTTTCTTGCTCCATCTAATTTGATTTCAATTTTATGATGTTATTCTTTTAAAAAGAGTAATATTAATTGAATCAAATTTTTAGGAACTTTTTTAATTTTTATCTTCCTTTACTTAAATTTACTTTTAATTTTTAGATTTTATTGTTTAAAAAAGAAAAATTTATTTTTTTAAATTTAATTTACTATTTAGAATCTTATTTTATTTATTTTTTTCTTTTTCAAATTTAATTTGGTTTTATGTTTTTTAACATAATTTTCTTTTAAATTTTTATTTTCTATTTAATTTTTTAATTTTTTTTAAATGTACTATTTTTGATTGATTTAATTTATTGCTTTCTTAAATTAATTTTTATTTCTTGTTAAAAAAAAATATTTTTTCCATTTAATTTTTAAAAGTATTTTTGCTTTATTTTAATTTTATTTATTTATCCTTATTTAAATTTAGTTTTTTATGTCATAGTTTTTATTATTTTAAATAGAAAAATATATTTGTATTTTTTAAATTAAATTTATTTTTTTAAAACCCTTATTGCTAAAATGCCAACAGCATAACTCTTAGGCCTCCCCTTTAGCAAAAGGACAAAGTTTACGAAATGTTTGCTTTTTACCTTCCTTTTATTAGCTCGGGATGTAACTATGTAATATTGATGCGTCTAAAGTTACATACCTGATGACAGTACGAAAGGCAATTATAATTGGGAGGTTTTAGTTTTTTAAACTATAATTTTTTATATTTTAGGCTTGTTTCGTGTTTTTCGAGACTTTTTGAATCTCCTCCAAATTTCTTTCGGAACCGTTTAAAAATGTTCAGTACTTATCTTGGTTTTATTAAGTTTTCGGAATGCTTCCGATTTTTTTTTTAGAATGTATCGTAGTTTTTAAGAACGATTAGGAAACTTTCGTGATCTTTAAGTTTCTCAGAACTTTTAGGTTCTAAAATGAAATGTTTTATAATTTTGTGTGTTTTTCGAGGCTTTCTGAAATCCGTTTGCCATTTTTCTGAACCATTTTTCTTGATTATTGGGCCTGATTTTATCTTTAATTTACGGAATTTGGTGAATTTCGGATTTCTTCACGGCCAAATATTAAATTTTAAATTTTTTCCCTTTTTATGTTTTACACATTGACAATAAAATAACGCTTCTCCAGTTTCTCGAGACTGGTTTTTCCAGTTTGATGTTCATAATTTTTTCGGTATTCTTTGCTTTTCGGAAATCTTAAGGTTTTAAAATGTTCCAATTTTTTTCAAAGGGTTTTGGAGCTTTTTAGACAAAATAAAGTCTAAAAGTAAATGTTTAACTATTTTATTTTTATTTTTTTAAAGCAAAGGGTCAAAGTTTGCCTGAGTATAGAATACTTTTTTTTTAATTTTTGGTTTTTAATTGTTTTATGCCTTTCTGAATTTTCTTGGTATGTTCTCGTGACTGTTGAAGAATTTGTATTTAGAGGTTTCTCCGACTCGGAATCTTTCGATTTTTTTTTCAGGTTAAAAATCTTAAAATATTCTAAAAAAAAAAATCATAATTTTTCCTTTTATTTTTGCGTTTTTTTTATTTTAAAGTTACTTCTTTATTAAGGATATAGAGAATAAATTGGGCAGCAAAATATTTTTGCCGTAGCAATATAAAAAGCCAAAAATGTTCAAATTAATTAAAGTCAAAAGTTTACTGACGCCTGGTTTCACCAATCAATTTTAAAGCTTTTCTGACTGTTAAAAACGTTAAGATGGCAAATTTTCCGAAAAAAATTGTGTAATTTTAAATTTTAATAGGATGATAAATCTAAAATTCATTTGTGCAACCGGGCATTAGTCTTTTATTTTTTATTATAAAAGTCATTATATGATTTGAAAAGAAGTCGCACAAAAAAAAAATCAATATGAATTTCGGGATTTCAAAGTAACGCCAATAACTTTAATTATCCTTAGGCTGTTTCAAAATGTGAGTTAACTTGGTTTGGCATTTAACTTTCAATTATTGTGCAGAAAATTGATAGTTAATTGCCGCGCGTTGGTTAAGTCTCCACTGCGAAAACAGTTCCAATTATAGAAAATACAGATTTTCACTATTTATGAATAAGGTGGTTTCGTAATGATTTACTGTGTTCAGATAGCCAGCTAAATTGACCAATAAGAAATGAGCTCTAAAAAATAAAATTAGTTTCAGCTATCGATTGTTAATACAGCTAATAAATTGTTTGTTATTGGTTAAATTTAATGCCTACTAAATTGCGTCAATCTAGCTGACCATGTGAACTTAGCATTATAATATAATAAAAGCTGCGCAAATGTCGATTTTCTAATGTTTTTTAATAGATGGAGAAAATGGTTTGGCAGCAACGCAAAATAATGCAAATCCCTGGAAACCGACTATAAGTTCGCATATAAAGGAAATGCTTAGAAAGAACTTTACTGTGGAATATGAATTTTATAATTTTTGTAAACAACGTTTATATAAACAATATTTTGCATTGCAGAATATACGAACAATTTGAGTAACAATAGTGGTGAAGTAACTATTCCTAAGTATATTTAAATACATACCTACTACATATGTACATACATACTTAATTATGTGTACATGATTTTTGTAATCCATAGCCATTGAACGAAATAAAAAATACCATAAGTTTGTAAATATCAAGAAATGTTTACGTTTTTTTTTCGGACGAGTCAGCTTGAGATTTTGCTTGAAATATGTGACTAGTATGGCTGCGTTTCTTTATACATTCCGGATAATCGCATTTCACAGCCGGAATAAACAGAATGCGTTTGAAATATACGTCAACATATCATTAGGAACGTTGTCAAGAATAAATAAACAAAAAAAGTTTGTTTCAAACGTTCAGAATGAATAAAGAAATGCAGCCTATAAGTACGAAAGCTGTAGGGAGGTATTTTTTTGCAAAGTTTTCAAGGAGTTGCGGAATTTTTTTACATGCATACATATACATAAAGGTTAAGAACACCAAAAAGTAATTTAATACATTTTCTTGAATATCTTTAGAAGTTTTGAGCTTATTAAACTAAGAAAATACTGGCAAAATTTTATAAGGATTGACTCAGTTATTTTAACAGTGCAAAGTTTTTACAATAATATCGAAAAGAAAATTTCTTATTTATTCGATGAAGTTTTTATTTTCATTGCAAAAGTACATAAATAAATTTAGAATACATAAACTCTAATTTACTCATTTAGAAAAGAAGTGGACGGTTATTAGCGGTCCAGCACTGTCTCATCGGTATTTTAATACAAACTTGCTTAAACTATTAAAAGCACATTAAACATATTCAAAATTAATGAATTCAACAAGATTATTGCGTACTCAAAGTTTTTAGTATACCAAAATTATAATTCGCCAAGAATTTTTTGAAATAAATTTTTGCATAAATTTTTTAAAGCTCTACTAAAAATGCCTATTATTTTTACTATCTAAAATTATATTGCTATAGATGTATATATGTACGTTAGGGTGCATTACTCTCCATAAAAATAAAAGGCGGCACTGTTTTGCCATCGGTAATATAAAATTTATTATATTTTAAGATCTTTGTCAAAATATTTCAGAAAAAATACTAAGATTCGAGTGAGATAAAATAAAAAATAAAATATATAAATAAAAATATTTTTTTTTTTAATAAATCACCTTAGATGATAGAAGAGTTAAAACTTAAAAGGTCTGCATAAAAATGTTTAAAAAAATGTATCAGCAGAATCAAAATAATGAAATTTAGAGGTATTTTCGAACCGACCTAGCTCACGTAAATCTTAATATTTTTCGAAATATTTTGACAGAAGCCTTATGGCATTATTCATAAAAAATAAAATGGATTTAAGGAGCTCTATAAAGTGACATTTTCATTCAAATTTTCAATTTATAAATCAGTTAAAGTCATTTATTTTTTATGGATGTGGGTGTTAAAATATAATACATTTTTTAATGCCGGTGGATATAACGCAATTATTATTTTTTTTTGGTGATGCATCCTAATGTATTCAATATAAATATGTTTGCACATATGCCACGTACAATATTTCAAAAGCTTCTTTTGCCTGCTAATAACAGTTTTTACTTCTTTAATTACTACATTTTACTGGAAACCATATGCCAATATTTAAGAGGTAATAAAATTTAATTTCGGGCAAAATATTATTGCTGGCTTTTTGCTTTCTACTCACTTTTGTGATTCCGGGCGAGTTAACTCTAGTTTGTTAAATCGTTTTTATTGTAAATGAACGGTTAAAGTTTAAAGTTGGGTCAACGGCTCGCCCTTACACGTCTAACTGAAAACTTATGCAAAATATTATTTCGTAATGAAAGCAAGTGAAATTAGCAAGGGATATTTTAATATTACGTATGTGTGTATGTACATTAGACCGTACCGAAATGAAGTATTTTTGCAAGGCGATTTCGAAATTTTTTTTTTGGTCGAACGTAGGGGTCGCTCTTTAAATTTTTCGTTATATCGACTTCTTTTAATTTAATTTTTTTACTACGTACAAAAAACTTGTGTATGGCGCATTCGATAATTTCGCATATGATCAAATATACAGTAAATTCTTGGCGTAACTATAAAGTTTTTAGGTACAATATTTTACCAGGTGATGCGTTGTGGGGTGTAGAACGAATCAACATCCAAAAGTCAATATCGAAAAAATTCCACATACGATAATTTGGCGCAAAGGCGTCGATATCTTCGGCATATATGTACAGTCGGATCTTAAAGTAGGACCTCGAAGTATCCCGGTATAGGATTTACCCACTAGATCTCAGTTCTCATCACCTTAACGCTCAACCCTAATGTTAGTAAATTAAAAAAAAATTACTAAACTTTTGCTAAGGAAGTATTTTGACAATTCTAGTATCTCTTAAAATGAATCGTTAAACTCAGATAAAAGAGATATTCAAATTAGTTTGTGTTGTCTATTAAACAAGAGTTCTTTTGTTAGCTAGAGTTGCTTGAGAGTGTTTGGATATGAGGTTTTGGCGAATTACCGTCCATATGTCACTATGAATAATTGTGCACCGAGCCTACAAATCAGTTCACAGAAGATTGAGTAATAAACTTGTGCTCTTTAATATTTAAATTTGTATTGTAATCGGTCGAAGCTTTTTTAATAAAATTTGCAGGTCTCCTTTTTTCAAATAAGCCTACTTTTTATAATATATTTACATACACACATACATACATAGGTAGATAGCATTACTAAAATTTCTTTATGGCCATCAACGAAACTGGTGAAAAGTTTTCAAAATTTATGTAGAGATTCTCTCAGCTAATTCGCATGCGGAGGATAATGGAAACTTTCGTAGTTTATTCTGAATCTGTTTTAGTATATACATACATACATACATACATACATGCATACCACCTCCTAACAATGCAATAAATTTACAACATCTTCGGATGGAAAAAAATATAATAATTTTTATTCAAACTACCTATGTATGTAAGCTGTACACACTCTCGCCGTGGATGCTTAACAATACCGCCAAAGCGGAAATCGATATAATTTTCTTTAATCGTTTGGAAAAAGTGGGCAGCCAATCGATGAGCCAACTCTTGCGAACTTTATCACGAATTCATAAATTCACATATAATATAAAAGTGCGCAATGTGGGACAAATTTTGGATACCAGTGAAGAGCAGCGAGATTTAGCTGAAGAAATTTTGGACTACGGTATACCGAATGCTTTTACGATGCATAGAAATTTTATAAATTTCACTGATTTGGATCTACCGAAACCCATATACATTAATCTGGTACGCCATCCAATTGAAAAGGTCAAAAGTGCTTACTATTATTTGCGGCATCCGTTCATTTACAACAATATGTTGTTAAGAAATCCGTCAAAGCCGACAAAAAAGTACGAATTTTTCAATATTTCTTTCAACGATTGTGTGCGAGAGGGTAAAATACCCGATTGCATATTTGAACCGCATACGCAATTTAATAGTGATTGGCGTCGTTTTGCGATGCATTTTTGTGGAAATCAACCGGTTTGCAAGTATGTAAAGTTATTTGTATGTATGTATGTATGTGTAAGGATTTTTTTAAAATCGGAATGTATGTGTGTATGTATTTATAAATAATTATGTACATGTAGGTATGTATTATATTATATTTTTTATTTATTATTGGTATCCCTTTTAAGTATCTCTATATGTACGGTGACTCACAGAAGTTTTTGTCTTGTCTTTTGTAAATCAAAATTTCTAGCTTTGGAGAATGAAAATTTAAAAAAGTTTTCAGAACTTTTTAATCATATTTTTCCCAAAAAAATTATAGTATTAAGTTTCTCAAAAAATCTGTTGAGTTTTTTTTTGCAGACGGTGTAGAACATTTTCTTCCATATAACGATTTTTTTGTATGAAAGAAAATGCTCAAGACCGTCAGCAAAAAATTTTCAACTTAGTAACCTCAAATTTGCACTTTATTATACAGAAATTTAATGCATACTCGAATTATTATTTTTTATAATTTGATTAAAAAATTTCAAATTTTGATAAATTTTCTCGAAGGTTTGAAATTTTCTCATTGGTGTTTTGAAATTTTGATTTACATGGTTTTTGATGTTGAATATGTTATACTCTTTGAGTCATTATATTGTTATGGATATTAGTATTTTTTAAGATTTTGATACCAAAAACACAGGAAAAAATTTTCGCGCCATTAGAATATAATTTAAAAACACTTTTTTTGTTGCGAAGAAGTGCAGATTGATTTTGTGACTCAGGGGGATTTTTCAGGATCTTTTTTTATGAGCAAACAATACCAATTATTTTTTCTTATTATTTACTGGCATTTTTTTCGATTCTTTTCTTAATTTTTCGTGATTTTTTCGGAAGTTATCAGAAAAATTTCGGACTCTCGGTATGTTTCAGAACTTACCGGGATTTCTTCGATAACTTTTATTTTGGGCAAGCACTCCGACTGTTTGTTATCTTTTATTTTTTATGATTCGATAAACATCTCTGCCTTTTCGAAACTTTTAGAAACCGTATTTCAAATATTTTCGATACTTTTCGAAGTTTTCCGGACTTTCCGGACTTCCCGGACTTCCCGGGATTTTTTAAGAGTTTATCAGAAACTTTTCGGGCCTTTCGAGATATTTCAAGACTGTTCTGGACTTTTTCTTTTGAGCAAAGAGTACCGATTATTATTTATTTATTTTTTTTTTGTGATTTTCCGCACTTGTCGAAATTTTTCGATAGCTTTAGAAATTTTTCGCGAACCCTATTTTTTCGAACATACTAATTCCGTTTGTTTTTTAATTTTGAGCTCTGATAAAAGTATAAATAATTCATGATTTTTGGAAAGTTTTTGGGATTTTTTGAAGTTTAGTAGTTTTTCTGGCTTGCCTGGGTTATTTAAGGTGTTTTTGGAAAATTTTAAAGATTTCGTCCGAATTATTTCAAGATTTTTCGTATTTTTTCGCGACTTTTCTGGAATATTTCGCGTCAAACATACATTTGTGCCTTCTATATTTTTTGCTGACGAAATACCAATCAAACTTTACTGGAAAAATAAAAGCCTAAAATAATGGATATTTTTCGGCTCTTCGGGGTCGAGGTTTTGTAAACCGATTATTTTTGACTTCTGATTTTTAGATACAGATAAAAAATTAATTTATTTGTGATTATTCGGATATTTTTATATATATTTTTTTTCTTGAAAATTTCCGAGAGTCTTCGAAATTTTTTTCCAGTTTTTAGGGATCCTAAGATTTTTAAGAATTTTTTGGCAATTTTTATGAACTGTTGGAATTGTTTCGCGTTTTAGGAATTATTAATTTTTTCGGGCTAAAAGTTTATTTACCAACAGCAGTATTTTTTGCTCAGAATGATACAAGTCAGTTTTGTTCCTAAAACTCTTCGCTATTTATACTCGGTATGGTTCCGAATTTTCTTTTCCTATTAACCCTTACATCATAAAATAATTAAAAAAAAAATCTCATGCCATAAAAAATTTCTACTTACTTCTTCAAACTTTCTTCCTCAATTTTGAAGCTCTATACATTGTATCCGGATCTATTGAATAATACCAAAAAAGCCGAGATCGATATTCTTTTCTTTAATCGCCTCGAGAAAGTAGGCTCACAGTCATTGTCTGTACTTTTGAATACGCTATCGAAGGAAAACAATTTTGTACCATATCGTAATTCCGCGGCCGCACAGTTTCATCCAAATTTAGTGGATGTTGAGAATCAACGCCAAACTGTTGAAGAATTAATTGGAGAGAATGTAGCACTTTCATATGTAGAACATATGAATTGGATCAATTTCACCGAATTCGGTCAACCAAAACCGATCTATATAAATCTGGTGCGTCATCCTATCGAAAAAGTTGTAAGCGCTTACTATTACATACGCCATCCGGCCGTTTTTGCCTATTATGTTCAAAATGGACATCCAATGGAAGACAAGGCATATTTCGATACAAATTTTAATGATTGCGTTAGAGAAAAGCGCAAAGAATGCACATTCGATTCACATAATTCATATAATGCGGATTGGCGAAGATTTGCAATGCATTTTTGCGGAAATTTCGAAATGTGCGAGTAAGTTGTCAGTTTTAAGTATGTGAGGTATTCAGAGATAATAGTATGGATATTTTTACAATAAAAGGTGCTTTTTGTCTAAGAGGGTTAGCTTTTAAGTGTATGTAAATAAGCTTAGGCTGATAATGAGGTACTTGTAAGTATTTATTTTATTTTTAATTACGTATGTATTTATTTACTTATTTAAGCGAGTCAATAAATAATTAAGATATAAATACCGATTAACATAGGTAGCCCACTAACGGTCAAAAAAGTGTAAGCTTGATCAAAAGTCTGAAGTCCCAACGACATTCGATCTATTAGCCTTAGGTAATTTTTCCTGAAAACACTAGAAAGACTATTTTATATATACATCTGTCAAAAGATACAGCCCACCTAGCGCTCTACCATATCGTCACTAAAGTAGATAAAGCTGCAGGCTTACTAGGCCCTTGGCACAAAATGTGTTTCACCGTCTCATCCGTATCCAGGCAGGATGTGTTTATGCCACAAAAAGTTAAAGTTAGCAGTCAACAGTCCCACAAGTTGCCTGCAGTCTCATCTGCTCATTGAGAGCAAGTACAATAGAGATTGGGGGAAACAACAGTTTTGCCCAACAGGTGTCGCAACCTCCCAATCATTGCTGAGCGAAATGTTGATCCAGTTTCTGAGGGTGGCTTTAATGGCCGAAAGTGCTAGCGCAACAACTGGTTGTGGACCGAGGAATACCTGGTCCGAGCCCTATCTAAGCAAGTGGTGAAATGCGCCATTACCAGGTACTCCTGAGTGACCTGGAATCCTGAGCAAGAGGTGTACGCGTTGTTTTCCAATAGTTTGGAAATGGTTGGAGGGCTGGCAGTTTGGCTGTCACTACAGTCACATAAACTCCTACAACGTAGTCCATGACTTCGAAGATTGCAAATACCCCGGCTTGAAGTACTGAGGCTTGTTCCGCAAGAGCGAAGTGAAGACGGTGGTTGTTACTTTCGATATCGACTCCAGATCCGGACTCTGCGTCAGTTTTGGAGCCATCAGTAAAAACTCCGAATATTCGATTATCTCATAAAAAAATTCGAACATCCGGAAACCGAAATGTGCGGATTTTAACTGGATATACGAATAGCAATATTAACGGAAATTAACCAATATACAAATAGTCCCAGCCCAGGCGTTAGCGGGTTAACCAAAAATATATTTTTAAATATATTAATTTAATATACTAACTAAGTTCTAAATTTCTCACTAATGCCGAATTTCCACAAGGCATCGAAATTATAATAAATTGGAGGCATTTAAAAAGTGCCATGGGGAAATGAATTTAATAACTATTTTTTTTAACGTAATGAAACGAATATTTTTTTAATGCACAAATGTGTTATTAAAATTTTTGTCATTTAATGCCTAGTGGAAATCCAGCATAAGAATGAAAAACTACTATGTATTTATTAACTATTTTATATACTCGTTCACGTAAAATAAGCGTAAGGCATATATGTTAGTATACATGTACATAAATCAGAAAGAGTGCAAGTGGTATTTATCAGTATATATGTACATTAGCGTGGGCCGAATTTTGATTGGTAATAGCAAAAATATGTTTCATTATGCTTTAAAAACTATCTGTGTGAAGTGTGAAAATTTTTGGTCAATATCCTAGGCTCGCCCAAGTCCATCAAAGTTCAAGTACTAAACAAATTTTTTTCTTAGCTAACTTCGATTCTCTACAAAAAAAGGTCTAATACTTTAGAAGATTAGTGCAATTTTAGTAAAAAATGTATTAATTAATTTATTTATTAATTTTTATTTTTTGAGCATATTGAGATTTGATGGACTTGGGCGAGCCTAGGATATTGACCAAAAAAGTCCAAATTTCACACATAAGGAATCATATTTTTGCTATTACCAATCAAAATTCTGAAAAAGCGGATTTTCGGCCCACGCTAATGTACATATACGCATATACATAACTACTACAAAATAATTACATTTCAGGCAATTTAATTCCCAGACTGCTACTCAAATAGCAAAACGTAATATTGAAACAGAGTATGCTGTGGTTGGTTCGTGGGAGGATACAAATATAACACTTACAGTTTTGGAAAATTATATACCAAGATTTTTCCGTGGCGCCACCAGAGTTTATTATAGTACGTTTTTTTTTGTACAATTTTCAATAATTTATGTACTTGTAAATTTTTCGATTTGAGCGCAGTAAAACGCCAGGTAACATGTACAAAAAAAAATACCGTGAAACTAAATCAGAATATTTTTGAAGAAGCCCTTGATATAAAACATTAGAAAAACTGGCCATTTGCTCATCGAAGGTTAACATTTTTTTTTAAGTATTAAAATCGTTTTGCTTAACTATTATTTATAAACTACTCAATTCCACTCTCTTATATGACCAATCAAAAATTTACAAGTACACTTAAACATTCACATCAGACGTTCCATTAAAAACTCTACCTTCCTTGATTAGGTGACCCCAAGCGTTTTCATAAAAATGCCACTCCGCATAAAAATGAGTTGGATCCAGATATTGAGGCACAATTGAAAGTACAATTCTCATTCGAAATCGAATTATATAACTTTTGCAAGCAACGGCTGTATAAACAATACATTGCCATTAGGAAAGATGAAGTTATTGCACAATTTAATTAGTTTATTTTTTAATATGTATGTATGTATTATTTGAATGAAAAAAATAATAAATAAATAAAGAAACGCAAAAAAAACGAACTTTATTCGCAAAAGTTTGTGTGTTTTTGTTCATACGTGATCGAGAAATTGTACAAAAACAGAAGTATAAAAAAAAAAACGAAACAAATACTTCTCCTTCAGTTTGTGATGTGCGCCTTGATGTTGACGTAGATACGGAAGGGAAAGTAGTCAATTTTATAGTCTTGAAAGTATGGTCATTTCGATGTTTACAATCATTTTATACTACCGGAAATTGTTAATGAGGTGACCCTTCATTAAATCAAATACATTAGAGGTATTCTCGAAGTCTTGCACGATGCACGGATTGCATGAAATGCACAAATACTATTTCAAATTTGGAAGAGTACGAGAGCATCTCATTGCAAACTGGTAGCAAATACAGCAAAAAAAAATAATGTAGAAACAAAAATGCAAAACCAAAGACAAGAGCTAGCACAGAGTCGCATTTATCTTGCTGTGCTTTTTTGCAAAATATGAGCATGGGTTCAGACGTTGCATACTTTGCAGCGATAAGAAATGCTACTTCCCATGTATTTTGTTGTTGGGTGTTTGCAAGTTATGCAATCCGTGCCTATTTTGCAGACATAAGTGGATTTTTCAGAAAAAATTTCCTTATTAAAAACCGAAAAAAAATTAAATTTTATTATAAAATAAAAAAAAGTATGTGTCAATGTTATTGTGGCTTGTTAACATTTTATTTTTAATATGTTTATTGAGCTTTGTACCACGATTGTTTATTAGGAAAAATTGAAAAAGCAACAAAGTCTAAGCGGAAATGAATTAGCAACAAGATTTTACGGGATGTACATAGCTCAGTGGTTAACGCTTCTGACTTTGAACATCGAATTCGCAGGTTCGATCCCTGCTGAAGTCTAAAAAAGAAGTCTGATGAGGAGATGTGGTGATCTCCGAAATAGTGCTATAACTTACTTCTGCCGCTTAGACTTTGTTGCTTTTTAAATTTTTCCTAATAAACAATCGTGGTACAAAGCTCAATAAAAATATTAAAAATAAAAAAAAGTATTTTTTTTTTAAATCGGCTCCCATCGATTGATAAGGAATTCTATTAGCTTTTATTAAAAAAAAAGGAAAATTAAAATCGTTTAAAAATTGAGAGCCCACTGTGCACCGCCTCCGCATGACAGATGCGTTCTATGAGAAGCCCTTTCATGACAGAAATAAATTCAAAAGTTTGCCATTACCTGATGAGGAGCGGGCGGTATTAGAAAAAACTTCGATATTGCTTGGACCAGAAATCGAACCCTGGACCTACTGGGTGGTAGTGCTAAATACATTTACATTTATGAAAACGTCAGTGTTTATTCTTCCAAAGGAAATTCTATTTCATCTCATTTGGTGCCGAAAGCAAAGTCTATAACTATGAAACACAACCTAACATTTGCCTAAAACTCCGATCGTCGTACCACAGTCCAAAGGGATGCTTTTTAAACATCATTTTCAGGCTGCCTTTTGGATCGCTAGATCCCGGCGAAACAATTCTAACAGAGCTTTAGTTTGAATTAGATTTGATAAGATTTAGGGGAGCAAGCAGTTGACCAAGTTATCGCGACCGAAAAACGATCGCTTTAAGAGCGAGGAGCGCCACTCTGCTGTCCTAGTCTACATAGATGTATTTGTTGGTTGCCCCAATTTCTAGATACTGTCTCAGACATAGTTCATTGACATGCACCGCGGTCTGAAATACAGCGTTACTATGCTGGTGAAAGGGTGCCTGCTGGGCAGTATGCCGTGATTATCCCTGGAGCCGTCAGTATATCAAATGTGGCTCTACTTTTGTGGGTTAGGCGATTCGTTGTTCCAGTTGGTTCTGTTGTAGAAAAATCATGCAATTTTTTGTGGAGTGACATCTCGCCCTCTTGTTCTATGATCCTATGGGTGGAAGGGTTTTGAGCTTCTTGTCTTCCACATTGTCGCTTTAGAAGAGCCTTGCTCTAAACAGTGTGACCTCTTTCTTTATTATAATGTGCAGGGGAGGCAGGTCAAGAAGCTCCAGGCTAGACGTTGCAGTTTGATGAGCTTGACCTGCGTGGACTTCACTTCTGCCTTATTTTTAAATAATTTTTTATGGAAATTCGGTTTATTAACGAGGTTTACGCGGTTACGAGGCATTATATTTTTATAAAAAGTAACACAAAACTGGTATGGAAAATATAAATAAATGAAATCGTCAAAACGCCAGGGTATTCATATTTTTGACGCTGACTGTATGCATACATACATATATGTAAGCTAGTGCATTCAATTTTAATATTGAAGAAAGCTTCTTCTCTGAAGCGAGCATGTAGCTATGTACATTTCCCAGTGTATGCTAGGAATAGTTCTTGCAAAAAACTACTAGAATTATAATGCTTATCATAACAATAGTATTTCTTTCATAGTACATAGGTTCCTTTCCAAGGTCAAACTTCGGCATATATTAATTAAGTGAAGTATTAAGTATGCTCAAATCTTGGTGGTAGAAAAAACGTAAAAACGTTCTTCTTTAACATTAACTATACTCAATTAACTATACACCACATATTTTAAACTTCGTTAATATGTACATATGTATTTCCTCTTTCGACCTGCTTCATTGTTCATGCCGCAGCTGCTTTTTTAAATTTCAAACAAATATGTACTCGTATTACTTAAGCTTTTCCAAAACCAAATTTCGCATACTCGATTCACAGATTTTCAATTTGCAAGCTTCAGCCTTAAATAACACAGTAAAGGCAGAAATAGACATTCTAGTGTTCAATCGTGTGCCAAAAACCGGCAGCGTTCAAATGATTCACCTGCTACGCCAGCTGGGAAAAGTACATAGTTTCGAAGTTGAGGTCGATCCACAGAATGGTGGCATACGTGCTATACTAAGCGAGAATGAAGAAAAGGATTTAATTGAAAATATTGCCGAATCAGAAGATGGTACTGTCTTTGTTAGCCATGTAAATTATTTAAATTTTACCAAGTATGAGAAGCCACGTCCCATTTATGTGAATATGGTGCGAGATCCGGTGGAACGGGTTATTAGTTGGTACTATTACATACGATCACCGTGGATATTTGTGCCGAAACGTCGAAAAAGCCAACGGGAAATGCCGAATCCCCAATGGGTTAATACCGAGTTCGATCAGTGTGTGTTGCGTGGCGATAAAGTTTGCACGTACATCGAAGGCTCCACCTTAGAGCGAGTGGGCGATCATCGTCGGCAAACATTATTCTTCTGCGGTCATAATGCACGTAAATGCCTGTGAGTTTAAGCCGGTGGTGTAAAGTGAAAGTGTGGGTGGAAAAAAATGTTTAAGACATTTTTTTTTTGTTCATTCGATTACAGGCCATTTAATACAAAATTGCCAATGCAAATTGCTATGCGTACGGTAGAAGAGGAATATGCTGTGGTGGGTACATGGGAAGACACCAATGTGACGCTGAGTGTGCTGGAGAATTATATACCATCTTATTTTCGTGGCGCTAAAAATATGTATTTTAGTAAGTGCCATTGATTGTTAGCATATTTTTGAGAATGAGCACTGTTGCAATAATTGCTTTATTACAGTGGGCATGCAGAATAATATAGAAAACCACAATCCTATGAAGCCTGAAATCGGCGAAGATATCAAGGAAATGGTGCGCAAAAATTTTACACAAGAAATTGAATTCTATCAGTTTTGTCGGCAACGTCTACATAAACAATATTTTGCAATTAAATTGAAAGAACTTATGGCTGTTGATAAAGATTTACAGAAAATTCGCCGAACGCAGTTACAAAAAAAATAAATAAACGCCATTAGAAGTTGGAATGTTTTTTATTGTGATTTACACTATTTATGTATGTTTTTGAAATTTTTTTTTGACGAACAATTGTGTTTAATATGGATTATGCAAAATTAAAAAAAAAAAAATTTTTAATCCGAAGTTCGATTCTGACCACCAGTCGGGCATATTTCTGTGTATCGATTTACAAACTCCTTTTAAGATTTTAGCTGTTTCATCTTTAGAACCATGTCAATATCCCAATGCTGTATTGGTGACAAAAATATTTTTACTGACAAATTTAAACTTTTTCATAAATTTTTTCGTAAAAAAACTGTCACAAGAATTTTTCACTGCTACAGAATCGAGCCGAAGGTCCAGGTAACTAAAAAATATTTTATGCCTTTAAAGTGAAAATAATGACTTTCTGGAAAAATAGTTTGAGGGTTGGGGGCCTTGAAAAGTCATAGCATGAAAAAAGCATTTGCTTGACAACCGCGAAGCAATATTCGATGGCGGTTCGCTAAAGACTAATAACTTGAAGGCATGAAAAATAAACCGGACGAACAATTCAGCTGAAATTGAACACAAAATGTTTCTCGCTTTGACTGAAGGGGAGGTGATTCAAGTTTCAACAGATACAAGTTGTAGTCCTGTGTGTACAGTATGCGGTACTAAACCGATTGAAATGAATGATTTATATAAAGTCTTATCAAAACCAGAAACTAGAGTAGCCTATGGGTACGATTTGCCAGCATTGCATGCATGAATTAGTTGTATGGATATGATTTTACACCTCCACCACATACTTTCTTTCGAAAAATTGAAGAAAAAAAATAATTTAGGAAATGAGAAAAAGCGTCGAAGTTTCGATGCATCGGAAAAATTTGCATCGATGCTAAAATACAACACCAGAAAAACATCGATATTGCGATATTTTAAAATTGTATTAAAATTTTAATCATTTTCAATCTGAACCAATGCAGTCGTTTTAAATGCAATCAAAAAAACTACCGTTGTATTTCTCTATATTTAATTAACCTTGCTATATCCGCGCAAATTTCCAAGGCTTGGAACCAAAAACATTTTCTGTGACTTGGCAATAAATAATAATATGTAATTATGATAGCATTTTCCATACTGAACGCTGAGTTCGAAATTTCTGAATGTTCTCCCAAAGAATGAATAATAAAAAAATTCACGATCAGCAAAAAAAATGGAAAATAATATCTAGACAAGTTTGAGAGTTAAACTAATGTCGGTGTCTAAAATATCTTTGAAATGGACATCAATGTATCTTAAATTTAGCGATGTTAAAAATTATTAAATATCGATGGCAAATATCGGATTTTTAAACCGATATTATCGATGTTTCAAACAAATCGATGGATCGTTTGCATCCTTAAACAAAAGTAAAAATGTAATCAGGCAGGTTCTGCAATTCACTTCCAAATGAAATTCAACCAAAGCCACTTTGAATTCAAAATGAATAGGGTTAAAATTCACTCGGAATGGAATTGCAGAACTTGCCTGCTATTTTTCAATCTCGGGGTATGGGCATCTGAAAATTTGATTACTCTAATTTTATGTAAGTACTCGTACTTTACAATGATATAGTACTTTCTTCAAAAATTCGAGACTTGGCAAAATTTTCGTGGTACACTTTACGTGACCATTACTCACTTCAAGTTTGCTAAAACCTTGGCTACAAGCGATATCATTACCATTACCAATACCCTTACTACTAGCATTACCATCACCATCACAATTATCATTACCATTAACTTACCATCACTATTATTTTTACCATTACCATTATCATAACCATTACCGTTACCATTACCATTGTCAATACTATTACTACTATTACCATTACATTTAACATTATTATTATTTTTGGCATTATCATTACCACTACAATCGCCATTACCGTTATCATTACCATTTCTAGTGCCTTCACCATTACCATTTCCACTACCACTACCATTACTATTACCGTTATCATTACCATTACATTGTCGGTCCAGCACAGCTCTTTGTTTGCGCAATTGTATACGTGCACCGTGTTTGTGTGTTCACTGTTTATCAGCTCGCTGATCTGCACAGCTTTCGACTCCGCTTTAAGCTCCCTGGGTGTGTCCATGGTCTGAATTCTCACATGCAACTAAATAGACATACATTTTTTTCAAAAACTAAATCGTAGTTAATATTGTTTCACAGATTTTTGATTTGCGCGCCTCAGAGTTGAATAACACCGTAAAAGCCGAAACAGATATACTTGTGTTCAATCGTGTACCGAAAACTGGTAGCATTCAAATGATTGAACTAATGAAACAGTTGGGAAGTGTACATAACTATGAAGTGGTTGTCGATCCTCAAAATGCTGGCGTTCGACCCATACTGAGCGCGGATGAAGAAGAGGATTTGATTAAAAATATTACGCAATTAGAAGATCGCGCTGTCTTTGCTAGTCATGTAAATTATTTAGATTTTAAAAAATATGGCAAACCACGTCCAATTTATGTGAACTTGGTGCGCGATCCAATAGAACGTGTTATTAGTTGGCATTACTATATTCGATTGCCGTGGGTTTATGTGCCGCGACGTCGCTTAAAGCACATAGAAATGCCATCTAAGCAATGGGTTAATACAGAGTTTGATCAATGTCTATTGAGTGGTGATAAAGCTTGTACTTACATTGAAGGAAGTGGTTTAGATGGATTGGTTGATCATCGTCGGCAAACATTATTCTTTTGCGGTCACAATGAACGTGAATGCACGTGAGTTGAGCTACTCACTTACATACATACAAATGTATTGTTAGAGTGAAGTTGGAAAATAAGTTGAGAGTATTTTTTCTTTATACGATTACAGACCATTTAATAAAAAATTACCAATGCAAATAGCTATGCGTATGGTAGAAGAGGAATATGCTGTGGTGGGTACATTTGAAGACACTAATGTGACGCTGAGTGTGCTGGAGAGTTATATACCATCTTATTTTCGCGGCGCTAAGGATATGTATTATAGTACGTCGATTGTTTGTACATACATATATGAAATTAGCAGTGTTTATTTGCCTTTTTTCTTCCTTGCTACAGTGGGCATGCACGAGTATGTAAAAAATTCCAATCCTGGGAAGCCGCATATTGGCGAAGATATTAAGGAAATGCTGCGTAAAAATTTTACACAAGAAATTGAATTCTATCGGTTTTGTCGTCAACGTCTTCATAAACAATATTTGGCTATTAAGTTAAAAGAACTTATGATTGTTGATAAAGAATTGCAGGAGCTGCACAGCGTTCAGCAGCAGAAAGTAAATAAACGTAAAGGTCTATTTTAACTTTGACACTTTTCGTAACTATTCAGAAGAAATTGAATAAAGTGTGTATCTATGCATGTGAGTTTGGTATGTTATTTGAAGAAAAGGGAATGTGGAAAGTATGAATCTGAGGTAGGGCGGTTAAAAAATTGAAACTGATTACTGTTTTGTTTCTAATAATTAGTTAGTTGCGCATACGGCGCTCAGTGTTCTATTCTATGAAAAAAGGGGAACAAAATCAAATATCACAAGAAAGAAATGTATTTTAAAGCTTTTGAGATGGAGACAAAAAATTTAAAAATCTGATTGAACTAGAATCGACCCTCACCTCGAAGCCGACCTTCAATAGTAAAATTTTTAATATTTTTTTTACCTAAGAACAGCATGTGATGAACTTTGAAACACATTTTTAGTGCATTTTTTTGGTTTTTGTAACCATAACAGCAAAAATATGTAGTTAAAACTTTTTAAAAAGTACATTGAACCCTAGTGGCAGGCCAAAAAAGAAAAATTTAGATCCTTCTATATTTGAAGGTCATCTTAAAGGTAAAATACTCTTACATTTCTTTTGCTATCTCTTTTCGTTCTCGAGTTATCTGATTTTGTCTATTTATTTATTTTTTTTTAATTAGAACACTGTGCGGCGACTCTAAACTAAACGTCATCATCTTCTGCGCGATGGTCCCTTTAGTCTTCAAGATCATCCAGAGGTCATGCCAAGGTCATTCTAAGGTCAAATTCAGAAAAAGGTTTATCCCATGTATTTTTCCACACTTTACCTTTAAATGACCTCGAATCTGACGTGATGGAGGCTAACAGACCTCGGATTCGCAGTCAGGGCGTCGAATAACATAGAGATATAGAGGTTTGGTTCAATAGGCAGAAACTTTGTTTTCTAAACGTACAGACGACCCTATTTTTGTGGAAGGTTGCCACTTGGTTGAAATTTTTAATTTAATTTAATTGAGAAATTTTATATTGCAATATGGGTATCAAACTGAAGAGGTTTAGAAAAGTTTACAGGCGAAAGTATGTTTGAGTATGGTGGCCAACTTTTTGAAAAATTGTGTACAATTAAGTTGATAAAATAAATGAAATATTTCTGTAGGGGTATCAAACAACACAAAAACACTTTTAAGGCGCAGTGAAGTACGTCGGGTGTTTGATGGTTATAATAAAAAAAAAGAGAAACAGTTATAAAATTCTTTACAAAATTTTAAATAGGGAAAATGATAAGCAAAAGGTACGTTTTTGAACTGCGGTAATAATCGCCTGATCCCTGGAAAATCGAGCCCTTTAACTAACATACGGATTTAGATTAAAAATAATTAGAATAATTCCAATATTTACGACTATTCTTAGTTTCTTCCATAATTATTTCCCTCCATTGACTTTGCACATACCTCACCATGTACATACATACTATTCCTTGCTGCGCCAGTTATAAAGTAACCTTCGTAGTTAGTATCATGACCCTAACAACTCTATTTCACGTACAAAAATCAACGTCGAATTAAGTACATTCAACTTCAAAACCAATTGCTTCTTTTTTTTTGCATTTTTGTTTTTCGTAGTTGAAAACTTTAAATGCATATGGTTTGAATAATACACGTAAAGCCGATATTGATGTTATTTTCTTCAATCGCGGTGCCAAAGTTGGTAGCGAATCGATGATAGAGCTCTTCGATAAATTGGAGAGCTTCAACAATTTGGTTATTGAGCGCGAAGGCTTAAAGAAAGGCACCAAACGCCAACTCAAGATGTGGGAACAACGTGAATTAGCCATAAATATATCTCAATTCGCTGATGGTTCCGTCTATATAGAACATGTGAATTGGATTGATTTCGAAGAATTTGAACTACCAAAACCAATTTATATTAATTTGGTACGCGATCCGGTGGAGCGTGTGATAAGTTGGTATTATTACGCGCGCAGCGCCTATAAGAATGCAATCGAATATGACAAGTTTCCGGATAAACCAATAAGACCAGCAGAATGGTATAAGAAAGATTTTAATCATTGCGTACGTAGTGGCGATCCAGAGTGTCAATATGTGCCATATACAGTTAATGATTTTGCTGGGGATTTCAGAAGGCAATCGCTTTTCTTTTGCGGACATAGCGATGATTGCTTGTGAGTAAAATAAATATTTTCTATTCATGTACCACATACATTCTGTAATGAAATGGTCATACCTACACACATATGTATATCTGTTAAAAATTTTAAACATATGTTATTTGTTTAATTTGGATTTTTCGCCGATTTTCTTTAGACCTTTCAACTCACCGGCTGCCATACAATTGGCGAAGGAAAATGTGGAACGTGACTATGCCGTAGTGGGTTCTTGGGAAGATACAAACGTCACACTCACCGTTTTCGAAAGCTATATACCTCGCTTTTTTAACGGTGCAAAACTTCTATTCGATAGTATGTATTTTAATGTTTTTTTGAGTTTCAAATTCATAAACTAAATTCGTTGCTATACTTTCTAGTACATACTGATAAAATTACAAATCGTAACAAGAATAGGCGAAAACCGAAAATTGATCCGGATGTCAAGGAAATGATGAGAAGAAATTTCACCAACGAATATGATTTTTATAATTTTTGCAAGCAGCGCCTCTACAAGCAATATTTGGCTCTGAACCTAAATAAAGTGTCTCTTATGCAGCAGTTAAATTAACTAATTCGTTTTAAGAACTGAGTGGAAATATATATGCGAGAAATAAAGTGTTTTGATGTAAAAAGATGTTTATTTATTTTGAATTGCAAATTGAGTGGAGAGGGAGAAAATACATGCGGTACTTATTACAAGAGAAGATTGCGATACTTAATTTGCATTAGACGTAATAATGAGTATATAGATAATATAGATTAAGCGAGACTGAACGCGCATCATTTCATGAGACGCGGTCTGAGAAGTGAATACAGCTTGCTCCTGAGCAGTGTTGCCACAAAAAAATTACCAAATTCCTCAAAAACAAATGAAAAATCCGAACATATTACCCAAAATTTTCTTATTACAGATATGAGTATTGTGTACTGCATACTAATTACAGGTACTTAGTATACAAATTAATTACATTCTGCGATTCAATTCGTACATTTGTTCCTGCGGTTCAAACAAAGTGTCACCATAGTTTTTTATGCCTTCGGTTGTATATATATATATATATATATGATATTGTTGCAACTATATCAGTGCTCAATCTGGTCCTCAAGTCAGTCCTACACATTTGAGAAACTTATATGAACCTGAAGAATCTTTTAATTCAAAAACCTTTTTTCCTATAATTTTCTGCATCTCTGCATGAAAAAAAATGATCGATAACATTTTGAATACTTAGCAGCAAATGCAGATGTGCTTAAGAGCGAAAAACACCACATAAGCGGCTTGACAAACAATGCGAGATATCCCTTTTCTTAAAGCTATTTATGTTGTGTATGGGGTTGTTTGAAGGTTTGACAACCAAATGAGGGAAATGTCAACAAAAATCATAATTTTTTGATTTTCTGGCCGCCATATTGACGTTTGATCAAACCGTTTACGTTGTGTATGATGAAATCGCCTCATTCGCAATGGAATTTTTACCGAATGAGGACCAACCACAACCAAACCCTTTTACATTGTGAACCGGAAGAAAACCGTTATAGAATCGTTATAAAGGAGTCTGCATGTTTATCACAGTTTTAAGTCCTTTATGAGCTAAAAAGTTAAATCGGTTATGGTATGATTGAAAAAACCAATATAAGAACCAAAAATTGTTCGAAAAAATAAACATACCAAAATAGCGATTATTCTTGTTCGAAAAAATATAAATCATAAAATAACGGTTCACTTTGACCGGAAAAATATAAATCCAATTTTAAAGGTTACATTATGATTTGAACGATCTGGATCCCATCACAATTAAAACAGTAAATTAAGCCAAAGGCGTATTTGCATGGATTCTTATGTTACAAAAGCTCTTTTTACAACTTCAGTTGGAATACGGACCTATTGTTTGGAATCCATCCTATCAAGTTCATTCAGAAAGGATTTAATCGATTCAAAAACAATTTTTGCCATTTGCTTTGCGTGATTTTAGCTGGGATTCAGAGTAAAATCTCCCATCTAGAAATGCTAGTTTTAATATTAATCGTAAAATTAGTAAGAGGCTTGATTAACAGCCCGTCCCTTCTGGCCAAAGTAAACTTTAATGTTCCCTCTCGATGATCAGGACACTTTCGACCTCTGTCTTTGAAGCCATGTAAAACTCTTTTTGAGTCAAACGGGGTATGCTAAGATTTTAAGTCAAATATAAGCATGTTTGACATATTGAACTCGATTTTTACTGTATGTCATGCAGACTGCGCCCCTCGTGTCGGTTGGGTGGGAGGAGTGTAAACTCGTAATTAATTGAAAAAATCATAACCGTTATGGTACCTGCGCACAGCCATTCAATGAAACCGTTCATCTCTTCAAAAAATTGTACTGCAGAAGTCTGAAGCGTATAATTCGGAGGGCGAGACATGGAAGCAGTGTCTAATTCTGCTGAACCAAGCTGCGATAAGACCAATAGTTTAGCGGCTCGTTAGCATTCCCGTCAGAAGAAAAGTAATGTTTTCTCAACTAACTATCATCTAAATCCTGATGTTGTACAAAAAAGTAAAGCGCCTGGGCCACACGGGAGAAGTGAAACTTACGTTACATATCTAGTTTGTCTCATAACCAATGTTTATCCATATGTACATATACATTTGCTTAAGGTTTTAACTTATTTTTTTTCTACCTAAATCCCTACCTCTACCCTTTTAGTTCTAATTAAATTTATGTTATTATGTTTTCCTTTATTTTTACTTTTATACTCCATTGTTCTTATAAAAAGTAAAGTGTTTAAATTTACCTTGGTCTTCATCTTTGTTTTTATCTTTTCGATGACGTGATAAGATGCTATGTGATGCGATGCCAGGTAATGCAATGTGATGTGTGTGATGTGATTTCATGTGATGTGATAGGATGTCATGTCATGCCAAATGATGTCATATCATGTGATGTTCTGTCATATGATGTCACATCATGTATATCGATAACAACATAGGATAGTAACATAAATAAAAATATCGATAACAAAACAGATAAAACTATCGATAACAAATTCGATAAAAACATAGATAGCAAAATTGATAAAAATATCGATAAGAAAGTCGATAAAAATATCCATAGCAAAATGGATAAAAATATCGATAACAAAATCGCTTAAAATGCCGATAACAAAATCGGTAGTAAAACCGATAAAAAATTTCGATAACAAAGTCGATAATAAAATTGATAAAAATATCAATGACAAAATTGATAAAAATATCGATAACAAAATCGATAATAAATATCGATATCAAAATCGATAAAAATTTCCATAACAAAATCGATAAAAATGTCGATAACAAAATCGATAAAATAACGATAATAAAAATACCGATAACAAAACCGATAACAATATCGAAAACAAAATCGATATAAAATATCGATAACAAAAGCGATTGAAATATCGATTACAAAATCGATAAAAATATCGATCATAAAATTTAAAAGAAATATCGATAACAAAACCGATAAAATTATCGATTATTGTATCGATAAGTTCCGAGAGTACCGAAAATCCCGAAATAGTTCCCAGGTTTAGCCTCTGTGACTCTATTTTTATCGTCTTCTTTATTTTAATTCTTCTTCCTCTATCTTCATCTTTACTTTTGTTGGTATCCTCGTCCTCATCATTTTACTAAAAAGATTCCACCAAGAAAAAAGCTTTTAATTGCCGAGAGATTTAGCAACGAATTTCGAATTATACTTGCCTTCTTCTACATTTCCTTCCTGCTGCTTTTTTACTACTTAAACGCATGTACATACATATATACACTTATACTTACATAACTACATATATATATACAAATACTGCTCTCGAAGTTGTTTATTACTTAGCGCCGTTGCTGTGCATGCATGGCTTTCCAATGAAAGATTTTCCATTTCAGAAAAACCGAAATCATTAAATTAGCACTCATATCGAAAGGTTTATTACACCTGATGTCTTAACACTTTTAAATTTTTAGTTAAAAACTTTAAATGCATATCGGTTAAATAATACACGAAAAGCCGACATAGATGTTCTTTTCTTCAATCGCTGTGCCAAAGTGGGAAGCGAATCACTTCTCGAGCTCTTCAATAAACTGGAGAACTTCAATAATCTGATTATGGAGCGTGCTGGTTTGCGAAGGGGCACCAAACGCCAACTCAAGATGTGGGAACAGCGTGAATTAGCCATAAATATATCTCAATTCGCTGATGGTTCCGTTTATATAGAACATGTGAATTGGATTGATTTTGAAGAATTTGAGCTACCAAAACCGATTTATATTAATTTGGTACGCGATCCGGTGGAGCGGGTCATAAGTTGGTATTATTATGCGCGTGGCGCCTATAAGAATGCAATCGAATATCGCAAGTTTCCCGATTCGCCAATAAGACCAGCGGAATGGTATAAGAAAGATTTTAATCATTGTGTACGTAGTGGTGATCCTGAATGCCAATATGTGCCATATACAGTGAAAGATTTCATTGGCAATTTCAAGAGGCAATCGCTTTTCTTTTGCGGACATAGCGATGATTGCTTGTAAGTAAAATAATACATACATACATGTGTATGTATGTACCATTTACGACACCACATATGTATGTAGATAACTTAACTTGGATTTGTTGCCCATTTTCTGTAGACCCTTCAACTCACCGGCGGCCGTTCAGATGGCAAAAGAACATGTGGAACGTGACTATGCAGTAGTGGGCTCTTGGGAAGATACAAACGTTACACTCACCGTTTTTGAAAAGTACATACCGCTCTTCTTCAATGGCGCAAAAATTCTATTCGAGAGTACGTAATTGCTTTTTTTTTCTGTGATAATAGCCTGATCAGTCAAAGTAAAATAAGTAGGTGACTTCAACTCAAGTAACACTGATCAGTTTGTTATCTTTTGCAAGTTTTTGGGAGTCTCAAACTTATAACCTTAACTCTTTGCTCAACTTTCTAGTCCACAATGACCAAATAACAAATCGGAACAAGAATAAGCGAAAACCAAAAATATATCCGGATGTCAAGGAAATGATACGACGAAATTTCACTAACGAATATGATTTCTATTACTTTTGCAAGCAGCGCCTCTACAAGCAATATTTGGCTGTGAGCCTCAATGAAGTCTCGATCATGGAGCAGTTGAATTAAATGCAAGCAAAACTAGTATAGAAATTACAGAATTGAAGATAAAGCACATTCGAACAATAAAGTGTTGTAATTTAAAAACATTAAATTTGGGTACGTCATCAATTAACGGCGAGACATGTTATGAAATCAAGCCATTTGATTCTGGTTTTCAAAAATGGGTCACAGTCAAACGATTGATTTCTCCCTTTACGGTCAATAATTAACCATATTACAGAAATCGAGTAAGAAATTTACCACAATTGATAAACAGAAAAGGTGTTCATCATCACAACGTCAGGCAAAAGCTTGCTGGCACAGCATAAATTAAGCGACCTTAGCTGTGCATTTTCTATGCATCCGTCAAAATTTTCGGATCCTTCGTCCTTCGAAAATGACTTGATTCGATTTTTTTTTTGCTCAGAAATCATAGAACTTCAACGCATAGAAGTTAGGCTTTGGTATTATATGTTGCTTAGGTTAGAGGACCGCCTACGTAGGCGGAGGCACACCTAGACACGCTGTCTATTGAGGTGTGCTAAAAGGGAAGATGACAACTCACACAGGAAGGATGAGAGGAGGGTGCAAACAGAAGAAAAGCGCTCTGTGCTAACAACGAAGCTACTTTGACCTTTTGGTTTTACCAGAAAATATAGAGTTTGGTGCAAAAAACTACTAACCTTTCTCACAGACTACATATAATAAAATTATTCTATGCATAATATTTTTAAATTTCTGAACACTATGCTGCACTTTAAATCGGAATTTTGTAGGTGAATTCTAATTCTAACTGCATACGTATTGCGTCAATCCCCATAACTACATGGCGTATGAGCGACTTTTTTATATAATCCAGTTGATACGAGTAATTTAGTTATCACCGAAGAGAACCTCCGTTGGGGAGACCATCCGTAAGGCTTTTGTAAAGGTGCTGTTCATCAAAGGCCTTTGATGCGCCTATGAAGACGCTTTCTAAAAGCACCGTTTAATATGCATTACTTTTGATGTCTATATATAAATGTTTAGTAAAATGTAATTTTTTTTTAGTTTTTTCAAAATTGTCCTATCATTGCAAAACAAGGTACATTCGAAAGGGCAGTCCTTTCGCTATAATAAGGGTATTTTTATTTATTTTACGTTGCATTGTGTTACGAGGTATACAGATTTATATGGAAGGACTTCAAGAAAATTTCTCAAATTCTCAATTCTTTAGCAAATAAAGCCATATATTTAAAGGAACTTTAGTAATGAACAGGGTTCGTATTTGCACACACATGCTCTGCTCACACACACGCCGGAAACACATTCAACTTGTACTCACTGCTCATACACATGTGTGTGCATAAGTGGAAAACAAACTCTGCTCACAGAAAAGTGTGTGCTGTTTGTTATTAAGCACATGCACATGTGTGTGAGCCGATTTTTGTACAAATTTCAGCCCATGCACATGCACATAATATATTTTTAAAAGAATTTGTTTATTAAACGTTATTTTTTGAAAGACAATTCAATAAAAAGTGAGATGTTGTTTGTTTTTTATATGACAGAAAACATATTAAAAAATTATTTTAAGATTTGAGTTAGAAATCGAAGTGTATAAGTTTCTCTACGCAAAGCACACACATGTGCGTGTGCTTTATATTAATAAAAATAAAGTACACACATGTGCCCGTGCTTTTTACCAAACGGCACACACATGTGATGTGAGCAAGTTTTTAATTTTTTATATGCACAGCACACGTGTGTGAGCGTAAAATGTTAGGATGTGCTGCGCATGAGTGTGCAAATACGAACCCTGGTAATGAAAACGTTCATCATATATATATATTTTATATACATATATACACAAATTGGATGTATCGTTAAGATTTAGGGGATGTGCAACTCAAAAATATAAAATCTTCATACAAAAAAATTTATGGTTTTTTCCAAAACTATGAAGACTAATAAAAAGAAGAAAATTACATAAATTAAAAAAAAAAATATAATTAAAATATAGCAATAAAAATATTTAAAAAAAAATTTAATTAATTTAAGGACACATTTTTTTCTCTTGAAAACAATAAAATCTAAAAACTAAGAGAAAACTAAATTAGAAAAAGAAAAAAGAAAACAAAAAGAAGAAAATACTTGGTCAAAATTAGAGGAAATAAAAAAAGTTTTAAAACAAAAATTTTTAAATAAAAAGAGGTGAAAAAGGCCACCTTATCAGTCTAAAATTGCAGGGGGTAAAAAACTGTGTACTCAAGAGAATTCTAACACTTCTGAGAAAATAGTTTGAAATTTATGTGAAAATTTGTTGCACTTTTTTTTTTTAGTTTTCTACAAATTGTTAAACTTGGGTATATATGGGGTTTGTCTGAGAATTAACATAAGTGGCAAACAATATCACTTTGAAATGCCAAGCTATAGATATGACCGATACTGTACATATGCCAGATTCATAGCCGCAATCGATGTTCCGAAAGGTTGTTTTATATTTCAGATATAACTCTTATACCAAAGAACGTGATAGTCCCATTGAAGCTAATTGGTGAGTATTAAAAAAAATATTTATTGATTAGTACTTATTCAATTTATTAATGCTCGTAGAATGCTATTTGTGAGTAAATAGGCTATTCTTTATTTATTTATTGTTTAGTTGCCTTATCGTTATTTGTTTTCAGATTTGATGGCAGCAATTCATTGTTTTGAAAAGCAAATTAATCACTGAATTATCAAACAGTAAACAAGCGACTTTTAATTTGATAACGATCTCTATTCGTCAAATCAACAATGTGCCGATAATTGCTTTCAAAATATTCTATACAATATTAATTATTATTTTTTTTTTAATCTACGCTACTGACACCCTGAAATGCGTGAAGTGTAATTCAGATTTCTTAAAGCACTTATCCAAAATGCATACATACTTGTTGACATACCTTTCTAACACCAACACAATTCTCATTTACCTACAGATGCAATCACTAAACGCGCTGGAGTTGAACAACACGCGCAAAGCGGAGCTGGACTTAGTTTTCTTCAATCGCGTTCCAAAAGTTGGTAGTCAAACATTTATGGAGCTGCTGCGTCGTCTGTCGGAGCGTAATAATTTTCAATTTCATCGCGACGCTGTGCAAAAGGTCGAGACCATACGGCTGGCCGAAGATCAGCAACAGGAATTGGCCGAGGTGATAAGCGATTTGCCAGAGCCATCTGTATTTATCAAGCATGTGTGCTATACAAATTTCACCAAATTCAATTTGCCCTTGCCGATTTATGTGAATGTTGTAAGAGATCCAATTGAACGTGTGATTAGTTGGTTTTACTATGTACGCGCTCCCTGGTACTTTGTTGAGCGCAAAGCTGCTTTCCCCGACTTGCCG